ACACACACACACACAAACACAGATTCACACCCTCACACACACACGGGCACATTTTTTTTATTTTATTTTTTTACACCCTACCCTACAACCATTTACACACACACACACACACACATACACACACACACACACACACACACACACACACACAAGAGTAAACGCATAGAAGAACATGGAAGCACAATGATAACAAAGCAGTCATGAAATCTCATACAAAAGGCTGAACAGTCATGCCGAAATCGCATATAGAAGCCGAATATGAAAAAAAAATACTTGTCGCATGGTACGAGTGTCGTCGACACTCACATTCGTACCGAGTCGTACGCACTCGTATAGCCAAGGGCCGCAGCCTTCATCGCTAACTAACATATCCAGAAAGAAAACCCAAACAAACATCTACGTAATACGACGAGTCGCAATGAAGTCCCACCTGTAACAGAAACCCAAGACCAACACAAAATGACACGCCGTACATAAACCAAAAACGTAAAACAAAAATGAACTCGTGACGTCACTACCTCAATCTACCTGCACACTAATGTGCATGAACCGGTCCTAAGTGCCCGAAACCTAACTATATGTACATCATCCTAAACAATATACAAAATGGTCGAGAGACAGAGATGGATAAACAACATATACGCGACATGGAAGGGGAACGAAGCTGTCAAGACCGTCGACCTCTCTTCCCCTTACCGCTGCCTCTCCGGCTCTTGCGACCCGCGCCGCCTGTCGATGACACACCTCGTCGGCCCGCCGCGGGCGCAGCAGATGTTCCTCGACTCCGCGTGCACTGTCTCGTCTCACGAACGTCCTCCTGCCGTCTACCAGAACCACGCCGTGGCCGAGGGGAGGGCTCGTCGTCGTCGTTGTCGTCGTCATCCTCCTTGTAATCGCTCTCCTCCCCCCCCACTGTCATTGTCCTCTCTGTGCTCGTGATCCTCAAGCGGGTACTCGTCACGTGCCGGCTCCGACTTGGGATCGTCCTCCTCTACGATGACACGGTCAGCTCCCTTCCTCACCTGAACAAGCCTAGTACTCGCGTGAGTGACGTCCGCGACAGGCCTCTCTCGTCGAGAACCGCGCGGCATCCCCAACCCCTCAACTCCGGAAGACTCCCCTAATGACGCACCCCCCGCCGCAGGCACGGGACGCGGACCAGGGTCACGAGATGCTCCGGTCCTGCACGAAGTCTGCTCACGCACAGCACGTGCTGCTGCTGCCAAAGCCTGCGATAACGTACACTCCGTCTGTACACCCCCACGAACATGCCGCGGCTGAGAAACTGCCGCCATGACCTCCCGAGCCGCACCCCTCCCAGTGCGACCCCCACCCAAACCTGGTTGGAGTCGTGAAGTGTGGATGTTGACCCGGCGAGTCGCGTCAAGGTCGATATCTATCCTCCCGAATAGCGTCGTGTCGAAAGGGAGGCTCCCTACGCCCGTGGTGTCACGGACCTTGGGTCTGCCAGGCGTGGATGGTGAGCGAAGGTGTGCACACACTGGTGTCGAGGGTGAATCACCATGACGTGATCTCGGAGGAGGAGGCGGCATGCCTGGTCTGTGTGAGTAAGTGTCCTCCTGCCGTGTGACATCACGTACAGCAGCCCGTGCGAGCTCTGCCGCATCGAATGGGCAAGCAATATCCTCAGGAGCTCGCCGCCCACTAACCGATGTCTGAACTGCTGACTCTGATCCTAAATCTGTCACTACGACCGGTGGCACCCCGTCATGTTCCACCTCCTCATAACCTGAGCCCTGCACACATGACTCTGATCCTAAATCTGTCACTACGACCGGTGGCACCCCGTCATGTTCCACCTCCTCATAACCTAAGCCCTGCACACATGGTCGAACTGGGCGCGTCGTCGTGGTCAGTTGCAGGCCCGTGAACCATACCAACGGACCGCTACCTTCCGGGGATCTCTACAGCGGGTGAATCCTCACGCTCCTCCTGAGGGTGCTCTCGTACCTCCACGTAGACCTGTTGAAGCGTGACCCGTGTAGGAGTCCTGGAGGCTCCTGCGAATGCCTGCTCGATCTCCTCTGCGGAGTAACCGGCGGCCGCTAGGGCACGCGCCATCTCCTCCCTCTCTCGCGATAGCCCGATCGACATCCGTGCAAAATCCCGCATCCCATCGCCAACCGCCCCACTCTCTCCTGATGGCGACGCCTCTAGTGCAGTCATAGTGCCCGAGGTCAAACCCGCTAGTGCGGGATCCACCTCGTCACTGATGAAACGCAGGACAACCGGGTTAAGGGTGTCGCTGCCCTCTCCTCCGTCATGGGCGACGTCCCCCCCTACCACGTCCTCCTCTCCCACAACCAACGTAGGACTGTCTGCCCTGACCACGTCCTCCTGTCTCTCACCCTGCGCAACATCAGAGGGCACTGCCACGCCCTCCTCTCTCCCAACCTGAATACTCACGACGTCCTCCTCTCTCTCTCCCAACCTGAATACTCACGACGTCCTCCTCTCTCTCTCCCACCTACGCTGCCGCCACGCCCTCCACTCCCGCCATGCCCTCCTCTCTCTCTACCTGCGCTCCCACCAAGCCCTCCTCTCTCTCTACCTGCGCTGCCACCAATCCCTCCTCTCTCTCTACCTGCACTCCCACGACGCCCTCCTCTCTCTCTACATGCGCACGATCATCCACCTGTGGTACCGCCTCCCTCTCAACCTGCGCACCGTCATCCACCTCCACTCCCGCCTCCCTCCCTGCCTGCGCACCATCATCCACCTCCACTCCCGCCTCCCTCTCAACTGGTGC